GCCAATCACATGCGAGGATATAGGATAATATCATTATGTGAAAAACAGAGAGGGTGAGAGACGCGACAGTCAAGTGGAGCGTGCGTCTGTCCTCTCAGTAAGTGAGTGAGACAGTAGACAGCGGTGAGGAGGGCTGTGAGTGCATTGCAAAAACATTAATATGCCTGACACCCGTAAATGAAGCAGCATCTGGCTGCAGTTTAAAGACTTTTTTGTCTTGGTCTCGGTCTTAGTCTCGTCTCGACGTTGTCTTGGTCTTGACTCGGTCTGTATTGGTCTTGATACCCTCTGGTCTTGGTATTGTCTTGGTTTAGGCGGTCTTGACTACAAGTCTGCCATGACTTGAATAAAATAAGTGTAAATCTTTAATGAACTTGTGATCATAGGAGCAACTTGCTTTGCCCAAAGGCCCCTTTTCAAGATGACAGGAGGCTGGGGGCCAGCTAATAAAGAAATGCCCATTCATTTTCTTAACCTTTTATCCAGTTCAGAATTACAGGTGATTTAAGTGACAAAGAGAGCACGCCCTGGATGGGTCGTCAGTCTTTCACAAGTCTAATGCACAAACACGGGCAACTGCACACTCTCACATTTACACTTACAGCCAGTTAAGAATAATCAAATAACCTAACATCATGTCCTTGGACTGTTTGAGTTTTTTTCTTGTACCTACACAGTAAAGGGAAAAGACACAAACAGGCAGATTTGAACCCACTGCCTTTTAGCTGTGAAGCATCGGTGCTAATGAGTTGCTGCTATGCTATGGAGAAAACACCTTTTATTCTGAAAGGGGAAAACTAACTTGCCTAATAAGTCTCATGGACCCTTTAGTCATTTATCATGGAAAATTAATGTGTCAGACAAAGTGAAAATAATTGGGATGCTTGAGATATTTGCTTAATATGCAGATTAAAATACATGGTTATTGAAATGCTGTTTGTGATTGAATTTAAATTTTAATGTGGTGTGACAATGTTAAGGCACTTTTGAATTCAAGTTGCAAGATAATTGCAAGATAATTATGTTATTCCTTTATGGCTCAGCGTCTTTTTATATGATGTTTAAAATATTATTCTAGAAATATTATTATTTTTAAGTGTTTTCTTTTTTTAAATTACATTCCACAACTGCAGATGCATATTACATGCAAACGCTTTGGTTATTAAAAAATAATACAGTAATTATTAACTGATAATGAATTAATGAATTAAAAATTATAATTTATGTATTAAAATACATAAATGATTGGCTTATGCTGCGTTTAATGAGTGAATAAAGGTCGTTGTTTCAGCAGATTTTTGTGAAAATGGCAAAATGTAATTGTGCTTAACAATAATGGATTCGTGTTAATGTCAATTCTGTTTAACAGTGTAGTTGAGCATATCCAAAAAGATTGTGGTCATTTTAACAGAAAACAAATGTGAATTATTTTGAGGATCTGAATTTGGGTCAGTGACACACAAATTTACAGCTACTGACCTGTTAAAAAATAACATGCAGCCAGATGTGAAAAGTGAACGTGACATCCGTTCAAGTTACTAGGTGGGCTATAAATATGCATCTGACACAACTGTACACATTAGTGTGCGCTGGGGCATTGCACATCGCTCTACTTATTGAGACTTGAAGCAGATGGGTAACAGCG